GTTATCTCCCTCCACTCTGAAGGTATATGTGGCGGCCTTAGCTGCTTACCACGCCCTTCTGGGTGGTCAATCATTGGGAAGACACCCACTTGTCACTCGTTTCCTCTGTGGCACCCTGAGGCTGAGGCCAGTACAGCGCACTAAGGTGCCCTCATGGGACCTGGCTGTGGTTCTGGAGGGCTTATGCAATGCCCCCTTTGAACCCATAGAAGAAGTTCCAGTCAAGTTTCTCACCCTCAATAGTATTTTACTCATCGCTATTTCCTCACTTAAAAGGGATCTTCAGGCACTTTCTATTTCGGGTAAAGGAATGCCCTAACCGTGCCTGGAGTTTGAGGGTCGGGTACGTCCCTAAGGTGCCCACTTCTTCGCCAGGGCCCATAGTACATCAGGCATTCTGTCCTCCGCCGTCCCAGGAACTAGGCCAAGAAAGGCTTAATCTGCTCTGTCCAGTTTGAGCACTGGATGCTTACGCACACAGAGCTGCCCCGTGGCATAAGGCAGATCAGCTGTTTGTTTGCTTTGGTCTGCCAAAGAAAGAATTTCCAGCAACCAAGCAGACTATGAGTAGGTGGGTGGTCGAAGCCATCTCACTAGCCTACGAGTCCTCTGACCTCCCGTCACCTATGGGGGTCAGAGCGCACTTGACCAGGATTATGGCGGCCTCCAAGGCTTTAAACTTGGGTGTGGCCTTGCAGGACATTTGTGTTGCGGCGGGCTGGTCCTCTCCGCACACTTTTGTCAGCTTCTATAACCTAGACCTGGCATCTACCCCAGGGTCCCAAGTTCTCACTTTGTGATGTGCTCAAGAGATACACACACAGGCAGGGACTTGGTAGTATGGCGCAGTGGGTATTCTCGTTCCCAAAGCATTTCTCGACGCAGCTCGAGTTCCTGAAGGGGAACGTCTCCAGGTTACGTATGTAACCATGGTTCCCTGAGGGAACGAGACACTGCGTCACTTTGCCATACTCCCTGCAACAGTGCAGGCGCTACTTCATCGAAGCTAACTTGCGCTCTGCCGGATGCGCTTTTATACTTCCTGGTTGCTCACATCACCCCGCTCGTGATGTCTCACTGCTCCATTGGATTGATTTTACACGTGCTTCAGTACACGGTCACGCAGGGGCGTTCCCAAAGCGTTTATCGACGCATCATCTTGTTCCCTCGGGGAACCATGGTTACATACGTGACCTGGAGACATTTTCCATCTTTAATTGAAAACAGTGTCATGTAAACAACCCAGCTTCAGCGTCATCCTTCAGCTTCAACTCTAGGAGTGCAGCTTCATCCTGTTCCAACACACCTGCCTGGATGTTTCTAGTAAACTGGAAGACATTGATTAGCTGGTTCTGATGTGTTTTATTGAGGGTGGTGCTAAACTATTCTATCTCACAGGATTCTGTTTTACACCACTGATTTTTTTTTTTTTAAATGTCATAACTTTTAAGGGGTGTCTTCATTACTAACATTTTATATCTCAGCTGTCAGTTTGTGATTGTATTATCTTTCTTCATGCATGCTGAAAACAGTGACTGCAGTATGTTAGAATAGGTTGTTTCATTAATCTTGCCAGCAGTTAAAAATACATCTGTTACATTATTATGCTTTCCTCTGTGGGTCAGTGGTCAGCACACACAATTTGCACTTCATTTCTCATCTTTTATCCAAGCACTCTCCATTCCAGTGAAATAAAATGCAACCAAATATGAAGCCATTACTGATATACAATACATCAAAAGACAAGCATTGACATGCATTATTCAGTTAAAAAAATTGTCAAACAGTATTCGAAATTGAAAGCTTTCACACAAAGTAAACGCAAATACACTCCTTTGAGGTGATTATCCTCTGAGATGGGCCAGCAATATTCCAATTTCCAGGCTGAAATAATAAAATAACTTGTGTGAAACAATGAAACCACTATATAAAGAACCAAATGATATTCACATTGTCATTTAAAGAAAATCTTCCCATCTGCTGCAGTTCTCAAATGTCTTTTTTCATTTGGTATATTTGTACTGGTCCATGTTTAGTTAAGACATGTGACAACCAAAGCGATTTGATGAATTGTTAAATCCATTTTTTTCTTTGCAAAAAAGAACCTACAGTTATCTAGCCACATTAGAAGACTTGGAATATAGTGCATGCCATATGGACCATTCAGAGGTGTAAAGAGTACCTGAAAACCATATTTGAGTAAAGGTACAGATACTTTACAGTGTAAATTACTCCACTACAAGCTACAAGTCAACAATTGCTGAACAACTTGAATAAAAGTCTTAGAGTATGTGATTTTAACAGTACTTAAATATTTGACTTATACTAAATATAGGCACAAAGAGGCATGCCAGTGAAAAATTGTAACATTGTGGAGAAGCTGGGGAAAACAGTCAGAGGCATTTAAGGGGTCATATGATGCTTTTTTAAATATCATTATTTTGTGTATTTGGTGTAACAGAATATGTTGACATGCTTTAATGTTCAAAAAACACATTATTTTGGGGGCTAACAAACTTAACAAGATAACAAGACACACCTGGGGAGACTAATCATGGGGCACTAATGAACAAACGGACTACAAACTGACTACAAACACCCAAGACACACCTGGGGTGACTAATCATGGGGCACCAATGAACAAACGGACTACAAACTGACTACAAACACCACGGAAGACAGGAAGTGACATAAAAGTCTAAGACAATGCACAGAGAACATGTAACAAAAACAAGAAAGAGTTGATTTGTGAAGAGAGCAATCATGTTCCTTTTCTAATATCAAAATAAAACTGAACAGCTCAAAATTGAAAAAACAAACAAAAACAATATCCTTCAAAAAGTTCTCTTCAGTATAACGGATAAATAAAATAATTTTACGTAAAATTAAAACGTCAAAGCCTTCTTGCACTGGATGTGCTGGTTACGGCCTCATTGCCAGCTTCAGTCATGTCCTCATCTCATATATAAAGAGCCCGGTCTCATAAAAATACATATAAATAGTATGCCAAATAAAAACAGAAAATCGTGGTATTGATACGCAAAAATTGACTTTGGCGTGCATATGATACGCACATGTTTGGCGTGCATATAATACATAATTTGTTGGTGTGCATATGATACACAGTTTTCGCATACATATGATATGCATTTACCCCACAACCCTAATCCTACCCATTGCGTATCCTATGCATGCCAAAGTCAATTTCTGCATATAAACAGTACGTCAAATCAAAACATAAACTTGTGCTATTGATTCACACTTTCACGAGATCGGGTTGTATATTAAACACCTATGATTCATAACTACTCGCATTCTCGTAAAGTAGCCTTGTTGACAAGTTTGGCTAAGAGCAAAATGCACAAGATATAATACTTTCAGTGCCCTGTAGTTGGCAATATCACTTTTGTAGCCGAAAAAACTGCTGCAGAAAAAGCTAGGTGCCATGCAAAATGTAATGTGTAATTGCAACCCTCACTACAAATGTAGTGGAGTAAAGAGTACAGATGCTTATTCAAAAATGTAGTGAAGTAGAGAGTAAAAGTTACTAATATCTTTGAACTGCAGAGTATCCAAAAAGATACTCAAGTACAGTAATTAATTACATTTACTCAAATACTTTATACCCCTGGCCCTGGGACCATTTTATGGTGTTCACTTATTTTTTTGGTTTTGGAGCTTGGATGTAAAAACAGATGTGTAAAGACTCTCCAATACTCTACTTTTGTATTCTACTAAATATACATGTTCGAAACAGCATGAAGGGTGAATGAAAAATAAGAGACTTTCATTTTGGGGTCAACTTTTCCTTTAGAGATGCTGGCTGGCAACTAGAACTATAAAGTTTTTGAGATCCCCTACCAGCACTGTGCCCTTGAACAAGGAACATAACCCCAGGATGCTCCCTGCAGCGAATGGACTATAAGCAGCTGCTAAATAGCAGATATCCTAACCTTAATCAAATACTGAACTACCAAGGGCACATGCTAACTTTTTAGTTGAAAAACTGATTTCAGATAACTAATGACAGTGCACAGAGTTTCACTCACCTGTTTAATGGCATGCAGCAGCTTTCCATAGCAGAAGACAATGACCAGGAAGGGGACAATCAGGCAAAAAATAAAGAGGCAAATGATGTAAGAGATGTTATTGGCTGTCTTGGTTGTCCAGTCTACAGAGCAGGTGGTCCCAGGGCCTTCTGGGCCATAGCGGCTCCAACCAAACAGAGGGGGCAGAGTCCAGATTAAAGAGTAGACCCAGGACATCACCACCCCACCGGCCACCTTCCTATAGTTGGTGGCATCAGCCTCCGTGGAGCCCATCATTGTACAGTAGCGTTCGTATGATAGCACGGCCAGAGAGATAAGTGACACAATGCCTGCAGAAAAGATTAAGACATTTTTCAATAATGTTATAATATGATTTAAGTTTAAATAGTCAAATGTGTCATTCCATTACGAAAAGACTGCTCACATGGAGTTCAGTAATGCGTATTTTTTAAACAGGCATAGAAAAGTCATTCAGAAGGGCAGCACTCATGTCCTATTAATTCAAGACTGGCATTGACTGATAAACAGCAGCTCTGATGCACTTTTGCAGAGTTCAGTTGAGTTGCCTGAGATGTAAGCCTTTGATTCTGCCATACTCTTTATTTGTTTTGCAGTTTTAGGTGCAAGTGATCTACAAGTGGGCTCTTAAAGCTAAAGTGTGTAATTTATGTACCACTTGCCTTGTCTTCTATCTTCCATTGACTCTATAAACAGCAGAATGTTTTGATAGCTCCACAGAGGCAAAGTGTTTATGTCAAGGAAGTAAATTCAAATATCTGAGATTCAGTTTATACCTCGTATTGAATTTCTATTATCAGTGAAGTGGACAGAAGTAGTATATAATTTGAACCTTGAAGCCTAGGACTGGCCTGTCAAAAGTCTAAAATTCCATAATATCTTGTGCCATTTTTCCATTTTCCTTCATTAATCAGTTTAATGGACAAGAATGTGTACATAACTAATGCATTGTATTTTGAAATCAGATTATGTAAATCTTAAATCTTTACATTTTAATACATTTTAACTAGCAAAGATCCTATACAATTAATGAAGTAATCTATGTGCACATCTGTTAGTGTCGAACACTTTAATTTCTAAGTCCATCAACCCAGACCAAAGATACTTTGATGTCTTCATAACAATTAAAGGGGTCATACGATGTGATTTCAAGTTTTCCTTTCTCTTTGGAGTGTTACAAGCTGATTGTGCATAGATAAGATCCCTGAAGTTGCAAAGACTAAAGTCTCAAAACCAAAGAGATATTCTTTATCAAAGTTAAGACTCTGCCACGCCCCCCTAAAACGGCTTGTTCTAACACGCCCCCACATATCTACCTCACTATGTGGAAATATTAGCATAATGCCGCCCAAATGTGCACGCAAAGAAAGAAGGCGTGGTTTCAGTAACCGCAGTTAGTGTTGATGCAGTCATGTCAGGGAGACGCTGTGTGTTTCTAGGCGAAAGCAAAAGCACTTTATTTGGCCTTCCGAACGTAGATGCATTTAGGATTCTTTAAGATGACTTACAACAGAACAGCAATGCATTTTATGGACGACCGTTTCGTGAACCTAGGAGAGGAGGTAATTCTGACTTTGCTATGACAATCTGGCGCCTCTGAATCAGCTACTGTTTTGTTATTAGTTTAAGTATTTGCAATTGACTGTTCAAATGTGGAGTTTTGCGCATCGTGTGTGTGTGCGCGAGCGAGCGAGAGCGCGAGAGAGAGAGCGAGCGAGAGCGAGAGCGTGAGAGAGAGCCAGAGAGAGAGAGAGCGAGAGAGAGAGAGAGAGAGTGGGGGTCACATCACAAACACATACCAGCTTCATCACTGTGTCGGTCACGCGACTCTGTTCCCCTTTTTTTTAAAAAAGCATCATATGAACGCTTTAAATCTCAGTGGCTTGTTCATTATTTTTCAGCATCAATTCCCCCACAATACCACCATTAATTCTTATGAGTATTAGGGGAGGCCAACATTCAGACCTGTGGACACTGAGTTCAGCTGACTGTGTGATGGTTTGATAGGGAGGGCGTATGACATATATTGAAGTATATGAAGGGCATGACCGCAATGAAGCTCCCCCGAAATCGAATCCTTCTACAGCCCGATTGCTGATCCATTAACTAAACCACTAGACCATGCCACATATACCAAATATACCCAGCTTTGAGAATCTAGGAAAGCATCTTGGTCTTTAGGTCTCTAGATGCTAGCATGGTTATTTGACACCTTAAGGGGATAGTTCACCCAAATATTTAAGTTCTGTCCTAATACACTCCAGGCCCGGCTCTAGAATCAAATCACTGAGAGTGCTTTTTAAATTAGTGAGGGTGCTCTAACCTAAATATATATATATGCTATGGTGCAAAGAGCACTATAATAATCATCGTTCATCGTGATCTCACATAGTTACGTTATAATCAATGAAGTTCTCTACACTGCACAATGAATCTCTTACCTACATTTTGTTGACACTTTGTTATAATGAGATGATTACTGCTGAACACAACACCTGCACAAAAACTCCAGCGATTCTAGTGGTGAGTGGATTCTAACGTAAATGCCTGATTGCAAGTCTGATTGGCTGTTGGGTTCATGAAATCAACAGATATGTCTGTGATTGGCTACACTGGTCAATGTTCTTCTGTGAAACGTTCTTCTTTTTGTTCTTCTGTGAAATATTAAAGATGTTTTGAACATTCAAGTTTGTATGCATATAATGAAAGTCAGTGATGCCCAAAACAACATTGGTCCCCACTGTCAATGGGGAAAAAAGAAAGAAAAACATATTACAAATCTTAAACAACTTTTATTAACATATTATAAACATCTTTTTACAAAAAAATGCATATATGTATACACACACACATGATTGATTGGTACAATACATGTGTAATGTATTACTTTTTATATTACTATTGTAATATTTATCATGCTCAGCAACCACAGCATTATTAACCATATTAATAACACATTTAATACACATTAATTTAATTTCTTCGAAGTTAAGGAGAGATGTAACTCACATTTTGATGCACTACAAGGTCAGACTTTTTAAAGTGTTCCTCTGGGATCAGTGCTCAAGAACACAGCCCTGTAGTATGAAATTACTTTTTGATTACTTTCTTCAAATTGAATCCAGATGAAACCAACAGTCATAAACATTTTATGAGACATGAGGCCTTTTTTGCTTATTTTAATGGTAAATTTTCCACATAACATCTCAGAGGAGATTAATCAGATATAGTAAATATCTGAAAAACTGCATAAGATCTCAAGCCATACTGAGGTGGATTCAAAATCTAATATTCTGTCTATGTTAAGCTGCCAAGAGGTGATTTTCCCAAAAACAAAGCAATCAAATGTGATTTGTCTTGCTCTGCTGCATTCACTGGCAGCCTTGCGATGTAAAAAAAAAGCATTCTCTGCTCAAAAGAGACTTACTGGAGAATATAACTATAGAGATCCTTCTCTAGACAAACTGTAAAACAAAGCAGTCTGAGGTTCTAGCATTGTTAGGCTATCTCTATCTGATCTGATCAAATTAAAAATAAATAAATAAATAAATAAAATACACACAAAAAAACCACAGAACAAATAAGATTTTAAATTTAAAAACAAAACCTACACGGTTTACTGCTAAACTTATTTATAGGGCATTGATATTTATAGGGCTTTTACATTTGAAATAATTAACCCTGGGTCAGTCTATACCCCAGGTAAATGGAATCCTGGGTTATCTTGCTTCATGTTTCATACTGCTTATACTTTACCCAGGGTTAAAAGTTAATCTTGGGTATTCATAAACTGATGTTTTACACTGTGCATTGCTAAACCCCAGGTTAATGTTCTTATTTGCATATTTGCAGTGTCACTGTCATTGATTTGACGAACGCAGCGCGCAATGTGCCAAATCATACACTCTTAAAAATAAAGGTGCTTAAAAGGTTCTTCACAGCGATGCCATAGAAGAACCATTTTTGGTTCCACAAAGAACCATTCAGTCAAAGGTTCTTTAAAGAACCATCTTTTTCTTACCTTTTTATAATATTGTGTGACACAGAAAGGTTCTTCAGATGTTAAAGGTTCTTTATGTAACTATTTAGACAAAAAAGGTTCCTCTATAGCATCGTGAAGCACCTTTATTTTTAAGAGTGTATGAATTGTGATGCAATACTATTCGTACCCTCTTAAGTCTAAAATATCATAAAAGAACACAAATAATTTCACAAGTCATGCAGACAGACGCTTTTGGCAATAGTTACTATGACAAATACTAAGTGGATTGATAGTAGTGGATTGATGTATGTGGCTGCATGTTGATGACATTACTATAAGTGTTCCTGATAAAATGACAGATCATTTCTTTAAAAGCAAATATACATCTTCAACATCAATGTGTTATTATCTTCACAATTGTATGTCCTTCTAATTGAATTAATGTTTATGAGTTCTGGAAACACAGTGGTGACTGGTGTGATTCGAAGTGATAAATTACTCTAAGACACTATGCAGTTCTGAAAATTAAAAGAGAAATGTATATCTCTCGATTACAACCTCACTTTCTAACCAAAAAGGTATTTTGCATCATTAAACTCACAGAGGTGCTGATAATTATCAAACCCAAAGGCTGAGGTGAGCCTGACATGCTATGGTCTGCTGATAGGTCAGTGTGAATGTCTCAGATTTGGTCACATAGACAATGAAAGGATAAGAGAATATTTTAACCAATGCTCATCATTTCTTTGTTTGACACTCTGCTTTTCTAGCATTTTTATTTTTCCTTATACATCTGTCTTCATCAGACTCAAGTCCTTAATGGCATCTCTCTTTCTCAGCTAATATTCCATGTACACATCAATTAACTGTCTAATATCTCATTATATATATCTTCTCAAATGAAAATCATTGAAACAGCAAGTTAACACACAAATTTGTAACTATGCCAAGTAAATGACCCAAAACAGTATTTTATTTCCTGTAAGTTTTGAATTCATGCATCACTAAAACAACAAAGTAATATGCTAGTCAAATTACATCAATTAAACATGGTGAGAGGAACATCATGAAATCTTTGAATTGTGAAAACATCAAATGCTTCATGTCTCATTTCAGTTCATTTGTGATAAAGTTAGGCAAACCTTGAAAAACCTGGAAATCTTCTATCCAAGTGGTGTTTCAATCACTGAGCTATTGACTGAGAATCACATCATTTGAAGGTACTAAATTTACTTGGGCATGAAATTTGCTGCCTCCAGCAAGAACCTTCAGACTCATCTGCAGTTATAAGCTGCAATTCTGTCAGTGTGAAACCGATGTGGACTGTGTCTTTGTTTGTTTTTGTTTGATTGTTCGTTTCCTGGATGTAAAAAACTATTCAAAACTGCATTTCTATGCCATTCATTAAAACATTAAGAGCTTAAACACAACTGTGCAATGACTAGCCAAACATGTTTTCACTTTTCTGAATTAAAGTCATGATATTTAGATAAGTCAAAATAATTTAGATTTGGACATACTTGACAAATTAAATGTTTATACTATAGGTGCTGGTATACACTTTTATTATTATATTATTTGTTTTAGTTTTTAAATATTACTAATAATTGAAAAACGTTTTGGCACTAATTCAAAGCCACTGAATGTTACAATTTTGGCAGAAAACTGTTTTTTTATATATATTTATACACAGTTTTTAAAAGTGTATGAAACTAGCATGAATAGAAAGATGACATTTTTAAGAACTTGGCACTTGTCTTTTAAACTAGAGTTCAAAAAGCATCTCAGATGTGGTTTATTTTATATTATGCACAAGCTGCTGCAGCACAAAGATGCCATATAAGTTTAGTTATCGCTACACGTTAAGCTAAGCTTGCAAATTAAGACACAACTGGATACTTCAGGTACTTGTGATTAATAGGGGTTTTGATCATTTGAATGATTCATTCCAGTTGAAAACAAATTCAAACTAGTCTTTAGGCTACTGCATACAAAAACATAAAAACTGATTAACTGAATAACGCATAGCCTACTGCAGGTGTAGAAAGACAGTTCATTCTGCAAAACACTCACCTAAAAACGAGTTGGCAAAGCCGTACCACACACATCCAGTGTCGCCGATGAGCCATCGCCCTTGAGTGCTCGCCGCGAAGCTGAACGGCGTGCCCAACACGCAAACCAGGAGATCACTCAAGCAAATATTCACCAACAAAAAGTTGATGGGGGACCGCAGAATTTTGTAGCGGCAGAAGAGCACGAGAACCAGAAGGTTGTTGAGGAATCCGAAAGTGCCGATGAAGCCCAAGGTCACCGCCACGAGCAGGTGGCCGGTGGGACTGAGGTTGCGATAGGAGGAGGACGCCTCCAAATGTTCCTCCACTGCACTGAGGCACAGCGCGCTGTTCGCCCTCCTGCAACTGATCGCACTCAAGTTGGACGCAATCATCGCAATCCGTTCTGAGGACACATTGAACAAAAGTCACTGCATTGTTTTCTTGGGGAAAGCAAAACATTTAATGTGCTGTGGCGTTTTGACAACAGACTGCGATCCATAGAGATGATAGTTAGGCTATTTGCAGTAGAGTTTAAGTGTTGGATGATATGCACGACGATTTTTTTTTCAATTGCTGAACTTTGTTGCTCGGTTCATCGGTTCAAAAGTGGGAATAAAGTTTGGCGTCCCTTTGCTCCACCGTGTGGTGATTACAATCCTCATATGCGCTGGAACTGTACTGTGTTGATGTTAGCGTACCTCCTTCTCAGCTGACGTCTAAGTCCGTCTGCTCTACTGAGGATTACTGGGCGCAACATCTAGGTTAAGAGGACAAAACCTCTGCAGCGCATCTTCTCCGTCTCTGTTCTGTCGCACGACATATTAAACGGTTGGTAAAACGCTTATCTCGTGGAGAATGCTCACTGGGGAAAGTCTGAAATTCCCTTTTTATTATTCGAATTACTCAAATCATTGTTCATACGTTTTAGCGCTGTCCATGGTGCTCAGTGTTTATGTAAGCGTCGACTTGTTTTAATTCGCACCCTAATTCTATACCAGTGGTTTTCTGCTCAAGAGTCCCTCGTTGTCCAAGACAATAATTGAATAATCCTGTGAATTTCCCATCTGATAGAATAGCATTAAAATAAACATACAAATTTTCAATTGAGCTTGTCAGCTCATAGCCTGTTGGCGTTCAATATGCATTATAGGCTGTTGAAATTACTTTGTAGTCTAGAGCAAAGTTTGCACATAACCCCATCACATTCCGACCACTGTGATTTTCTGGGTTGCTTAAAATTCTATTTATTTCTCACTCTGGATATCAGAGAAATTTATGAATGGCTGTGAGTGGAGGACAGAGGAGCCTCTTAAAGAAGAAGTTACAGGTCTGTGAGAGCCAGAAATCTTGCTTGTTTGTAGGTGACCAAATACTTATTTTACCGAGGAATTTACCAATTAATTCTTTAAAAATCCTACAATGTGATTTTCTGGATTTTTTTTTCTCATTTTGTCTCTCATAGTTGAGGTATACCTATGATGAAAATTACAGGCCTCTCTCATCTTTTTAAGTAGGAGAACTTGCACAATTGGTGGCTGACTAAATACTTTTTTGCCCCACTGTAGATAGATAGATAGATAGATACGACCATTAAGCCTAAAAATCAGAAGTTACAAAGGACTTCCTCTTTTGAACATTTTGATAATGTCAAATGCACTTGGAAAGTAGGGGTGTTTCCTCAAGTAATACATGTATATTCTGTTTTGTTCTGGTGTAGTTCCCTTTCAATACTACACTCGTACTGCGTCTTGCTAGACGCATATGGGGAAAATGGGCCTTTTTTCTCCTGAACTGAAGCCTTTTCATTCACGCAGTGAAACTGCACGGCCATTGGTTCGTGCGGTGTATTAAAAGAACAAACCAATGGCTAGGCAGCGGGGCTGCACGAGCCTATGGCGACGAAGCCCGCCAAGCCTGCCAAAGCCCGCCAAAATGGGCGGGGCATCTGGCTATATAAGTGGACATTCGCCCCAGGATTCTCAGATATCTTCTCCTTCAGCGATGACTCTATGCTCAACGCTGATCCAGAAAGCCTCTGGATTGAGACCTCCGAGCTCGGGTGACCGGCTCTCTTCGTGCCTCAGCATCGCAGCAGTTCCGGTCCTGTTCCCCTGACACCATCCGGCAATACTAAAATAGCTTATTTCTAGCAGGTAAGCCCTAAAAGAGCAAATTCTAGCGACATTGTTGCAAATGTTGTGCTGCGAGTGTGGCTCGTGCAGGGAATCTTGCACGATGCAGAAGGGCAGTGAGTGCCGTCACCTGTCTGGGCAGCCCCCACGCATAGACTGCTCGCTCACTGAGACGGAATGCTCTCGTTGAAAGCATGAATCTCGCCCTTCTCCACTCGCGGAACGGGGGCAGCCCCGTTCTCCCATTTCTCCTCTCTCAGAGAGCCTCGGAGAGGGAAACAGCGGAGTCAGGGAATAAGCAACCGGGTTGACTGATCTCTTGCCGGCACTGTGCCTGCGTGCTCTCTCTCCCCGCTGCGCTTCGATCCATGTCTTGCACTTAAGGATCAGTGTCTCTCTTTACATCGAGCGGCTCTATCCTCCTAAGTAGATCGGAGCAGATGCTGCCACTGGCAGCTTCAAATTGTGTGTGTCACTATGACTGCGCTCACAGACACGGGCTGCTGTTACCACGAAAGCAGTCTGCCCCTGTTCGTTCGCGGAAGGCGGCCCCGCCTCCCCGCCTCCCCGCTCTCATGTTTCTCTCCTCCCAGTTACCTCGGAGGAAGCAACGGCGAGCTCGCGGATTGAGCAATCAGGCAGAGCAATTTCATGCTGACACACATCAGACGTGCTTAATCTTCCAGTGTGTGTTACACGTGAGAATCAGTGCTCCTCGTTCACGAGCAGCTTAATCCTCCTGGGCAGATCAAAGCAAAACGCTGGCAGCTTCGCATTTGTGTGTGCGTCACTGAGCCCCTCCTCCCCCACGCTTGTGTTTCTCTCCTCCCAGTTACTCGGAGGTAGAAATAATGAACTCGCGGGTATGAACGATCAGGTTTGAGTGATTTAATCCCGGCAAAGCCCCCGCATGCATCACTCTCCACGCAGCTCTTTGATCTGCCAGTGTGTTTACACGTGGGGATCGGCACCCCTCATTGTCGAGCGGCTCAATCCTCCTGGGCGGTCTGGAGCAGAACGCTGTCACCAATGATTCAATATCGCTGACAGCCAGTGTGGCCAACTGCTTTCAATTGAAAGTAGCTAAAACTGGTAGCTAAATGTCACTAGATGACATCACAATGGCAAATTCACTGATCTATATAAAGATTAACGTAGATCATTGGGCAAGATGAGAACTTGGATAAGGTTTGTCCAAGCAGTTGCTATATTTGTCCCTAAACTTTTGAAAAAAAGTCTCAAAAGGGGCGGGGAAGTCGCTAAATCTAGCTACAAAGTAGCTAAATTGGCAACACTGTTGACAGCTTTGTATTTGAACGTGCCTCTCGCCTGGGCCACGCCGACGCTGCACTCCTGAGACAGACCGCTCTTACAACGAGAGCTCCTGTCTCGCTCTGCTTTGCTTGTGGCTCAATTTCTTCAATAAAGACGGCCCCGCCCCTCCCCTCATCCGCTACGAGCGAATTTGAGAGAATGAGCGCAGTATTTTTGATCTGCCAGAGTGTTTAAACAAAGATCATCAAAACTCCTCTTCTAACGAGTGGTTTAATCTTTTTAGGTGGATTAAAAGAGAATGTTGTCACTAATGATTATTATCGCTGACAGCTTCAAATTGAACGCGTCTGGGCCACGCCCATGCTGAGGCTGCACACATGGGGGCTGACTGCTCTGCTATTAGAGCATTAAGTCTAGCGAAGCATTTTTTGAAAGCATTTTCAAGTAAAGCAAATTTCTGAGTGTGGGGTCCCCATACGGCGACCAGCCTCTCAATTTAATCCAACCCCTCATCACACGGGCTGACGGGCCATCCCATTAGTGCCAATCTGGGTGTTAGAGATAATAAAACGAGGTTATTCACTGCAATTAGCTCGAATACCCCGCGATTCAGCTACGTGGTTCCCACCTTAGCTTAGAGCAAAGACGCACACGTCCTGCGCTCAGAGGTGATGAATTTGCTGGCGATAGGAACTGTTCCCCCAGCTCAAAGTGAGTCAGGCTTCCAGAGTCGCTACTTCCTCGTCCCCAAAAAGGATGGTGGCCTCTGGCCCATCATCACTCTCAGACACCTGAATCACGCCCTCATGAAAAGGTTGTTCAGGATGACTATGCTGAAAGAGATCCTTACGTCCTGCGCTCAGAGGTGATGAATTTGCTGGCGATAGGATCCGTAGAAACTGTTCCCCCAGCTCAAAGTGAGTCAGGCTTCCAGAGTCGCTACTTCCTCGTCCCCAAAAAGGATGGTGGCCTCTGGCCCATCATCACTCTCAGACACCTGAATCACGCCCTCATGAAAAGGTTGTTCAGGATGACTATGCTGAAAGAGATCCTTGTGCGAATTCGCTCAAGAGACTGGTTCTTTTTTTGCTGGACGCATACTGCCCCCCCCGCACTTTTATGAAATGCATGGACTCTCTCCCCTCTGAGACAGATAGGAATCCACATTCTCAATTACCTCGATGACTGGCTCGTTCTGGCCCAGTCAGAGGCAGAATTAATATCACACAGGACCCTCCTCCTCAGCCACCTCGAGGGCCTGGGACTCAGGGTCAATTTTGCCAAGAGCCCGTTGTTCCCCAGCCAGCGAATATCGGTTCCTGGGAACAATTTTCGACTCAGCCCAAATGAGAGCTGTAGTCACGCCGGAACAGGCTTTGGCCATACGGAGGCTGGCAACCTCCTTCGAGATTGGTACCACTCGCCCTCTCAAAGTGTTTCAAAGGATGCTGTGCCTCATGGCGGCGGCATCGCCAGCGCTACAGTTGGGTCTGCTTCGTATGTGCCCCCTTCAGTGCTGGTTGAAACCACGGGTTCCATTCCATGCGTGGCATCACGGATGCCTGCAGATCAGGGTGAGTCAGGCCTGTGAAACAGCCCTGGCCCCCTGGAAGAACTCCCGCTGGATGGAACAGGGCGTGGCCATGGGGATGGTTTGCAGAAGGACAGTTGTCACGACAGACGCCTCCAACTCAGGTTGGGGGGGCGCTGTGCGAGGGCATACCGACTTCCGGCTACTGGTCGAAGGCAGAAAAGGGCTTCCACATCCACTGCCTGGAAATGCTAGCAGTATGCCGATTCTGTCAGTTCTTCCTGCCAGTCCTAAAGGGGCACCATGTGCTAATCCGATCGGACAAAATGTCTGTGGTGTCCTACATAAATCACCAGGGAGGCCTCTCCTCGAAGCGTCTCTTCACTCTGGTATTTCAGCCACTGGTCGAAGGCGGTAAAAGGCTTCCACATAAACTGCCGGGAAATGCTAGCAG